TTGTTTTTAAAGCATTTATCCACAGATGCTTCTCTGGATTCCTCTGAGGAAAGCTCAGCCACTGGTGAGATCTCACTGATAATTTAAAAGTAGGACAACAGAGGTGTGCATGAAAGGAAAAAATGAAATCATAGCCAAATAATTCAGGCCACAAAAATTGTCAGATTTCTCATAAATCAGTGTGTTCTCTTTTCTTTTTGTTTCAATCTGCAACAGATTGCCCAAGGAGGCTGTGGATGCCCCATCCCTGGAGGCATTCAAGGCCAGGCTGCATGTGGCTCTGGGCAGCCTGGTCTGGTGGTTGGCGACCCTGTACATAGCAGGAGGGTTGAAACTGGATGATCTTTGTGGTCCTTTTCAACCCAGGCCATTCTATGATTCTGTGATTCCATTATTCTATGGTTCTATAAAATGTAACATTAACAGGAAGATAGCACTTTTGGTATCAAAATAAGTCAAAAAGACATTGTCTTGATGCAGCTCATAGGAAACAGAGGCAGACTCTTCTGTATTTATTTTCTATCTATTGTTTTGCCCAGACATGTTCAAGGTTCACTAAACCTCATCAAACGTGTCCTTCTGCATACTTAAACAGTAAATGACAGCATAGTGATCAGCTGTGTTTTGTTCTTCTCATTGAAACATCACTTATAAACTACTTTTAAAAAATCTAAATTTTTTTTTTATTATTTGAAAAGTAAAAAGAAAATATCTTTCAAATCTCATGCATTGGTTAGAATGAGGCAATGTACTTCTAAGGCTGGTTGTCATAAACATATGTTATTTGTTTGCATAGATAAGGTAGTAGAAATGCATTTTAAGCTGCTGTGTTCAGCCAGCAGAGACATTTCTGGGGTCCCAGACACCATGCTCCAAGATTCCAGTACTTGGGTTTTTTCACTGTATCAGGGAGGTGTCCACTCCTGTTTTCAGTGGCATGCACCTAGCAGGAGATTCTGTGTCACTTACAGTGACTTAATGTGCCATATGGTCTGTGCCTTCTCAGGGCTCTTTTGCAAGCCCATGTCCGTCAGTGAGCAATTAGTTGGGGGGGTTGTTTCCAAGTTGCTAACAAGCCTGCAAAGCAAGACTGAATTAACTTAAACTGAATTCTTGAATGACTGCAGATAGATGCCAGCTTTTTGTCAAGCACTGTAGTATATGGAGAAGGAAACCACACTTAGCCCAAGCAATGCATATTTTGAAAAAAATGGAAAGAAGATAAAATCAGAGAATAGACATAATTATACAACACTGTCTGAGTTTATCAACAAAAAAACAGTCAATTAATATATTATTTTTCATTTATTACACAAACTGTAATTAAGCTCTCACTAATAACTGAGCTGAGTGAGAAATTATTCAACCCATACTTACCAGTCCTACTGAACCAAATTATGCTTTGAGTTCAAGGGTTGGTTCTTGACAATTAAGATTTTAAAACAAGACATATTGATTTTCCTAACTTCATTTTGAAAGCATTTCATCTTCTCCTATAATAATACAATAATTTTAGGAGTAAAAACAGACTTGGGACAGGACACTGTATATATGCTGTTACATGATTATAGACTCGATGAGCTATGAACTGTGAAGAATCATAACACCATTTTGAATGACCTCTTATAACTCTGAGACGATTAAATTTCATTTGATTTTCTTTAATTCAATCTAACAGGTTTTATTTAATTAAATTGCATAGAATATGTTGTGCATGTACATTGTATGTATTCATACAGAATTATGCAAGTGAATAGAATGGTGTAGTAATAGATTTATGGTTGTGGCTAGCAAATAAGATGATAAAACCTAATGAGTTGAGGGAATATTTTCCAAGTGAGGAATTCATCTAAAGAAAACACACTGTTTTTTCCTAGAGATCAATGTTAAGAAAATTCAGCCTGAATCTTAGTTGGAGAGCTAGCTCAAAAATTCAGAAGAGAGAGGCTACTACCGTAGTGATTCTGTTTCCAAAAGGCTCACACACTCCCAAATAATATGATTTCCTCACTCTTCAAAGCTTCTTTCAGTCAAGGTCTGTCAGATATCACCCAGATAGGTTTGACTTAATGTTAAGGACAACAATGGTTAGAGAAAAGGTAGTAGGAAGAATTCAGTCAGACAAAGACTGAGACAATCATTTTGCAGTTCACAGAAATGTCATTTACTCATTGTCTTTTGCTTTGGCTGAGCTGGTACTCGTCCCAGAAGGAGGCAGGAGTAACTCATCAGTCCAACCACCACTAAATCATCAGTGGCCCCACACATCTTGTTGAAAACAAAAACACCACTTTTCAGTTTATACAAGAGCTTACCTAAATTTTGCAATCAACAAGGGCTTCTAGTCTGATCTGGGCCCTAAAATGAGCCTTCAAGTAGCATAGCCACTTGAATGAGCCTTGGAAATAATGTAGGATAAACCCATTTTATCTTAGCCCTTCAGAACTTCTTTTCTATTTTACATGGGGCTATAGCCCATGTGGCTGAAACATATACTTGACTCTAATATTAAGTTGAACCCAAGCTCTTGAAACTACCATCAGTTCTGCAACTAGAATATATCTAACAAGGAAGTTCAACACAGCAAAAGGCTCAGAGAGATCTATGACAGCCAGGAATTAACTACACTCCTCAGCTTTATGCATTCCCAGAACGAAGACTAAGGCTGCTATTATAATGCAAAAACTCAGGTTATGAACGGAAGCTGATGTACTGAAAGGTGTTTTTTTTTTCTAAAATTACCAATTGTCTAACCAAAGAATAGATTTTAGTTTATATATATTTTAGTACTATTCATTTTGAAGTTGATGGCACTTTGCTTGAGATAAGGCTGTTCTGACAGTTGACACTGTGATTCCTGTTCAGTCAAGGATGATGCATTTTTCTGTCACATAGTTGAGATTCCTTTTCAAGACTTAATTCAGAACTAGCAATCCTTATCATCAGAACAAACAGTAAGTGAACTAATGCTACCACTTGAAGGATTCTCATACCAACAGTTACCTATTTACTGACCTCTATTTCAACAAAGTCCCTTATCTCAAACATGTACTTGAGCTCAAAAGCAGGCTTGTTCAGCTTGTTAGTTTCCAAATTAAACCACATTGGAGTAAAGAATTACCTGTCCTTAAATTAAGATGTGAGCTACTCTTGTAATGAATAAATAACACCAATTCTTTTATGCATAAACTCCTAAGACTAAACAAAGCGCCTCCAGAATCCAGCCACCACTTTTGCCAGAACACTGCTTACTCGTAGTTGTGGCAGCTGGGATTTAGGCTGATCTCATTACTTGTAAATTTCAAAGATATAAATGTCTTATAGAAGACATTATAAATTTGTGGGGAATTAAATCCTTTACACTGGACCATACTTCCATCTGTGGAAAAATAAAATGCATGCATGTGCAGGTATATATATATGTGTGTGTGTGTGCCTATGAAAGTATATAACTTTGTATGTGCATAAAATATGTTGGTTCTTCTATCAGAGTTAGGTGCAGTTTTCATTAAGCATCCCATTGAAAAGGGTTTAAACTAAAGCACTTCAAAATAACAGGCTGTCAAAATAACACCTCTGTTTGAAACTGAATTGCTTTCATCTCACCATTTCTCACAGGTAGTGGCAAGTGTAAAACACCCCACTCCAAAAAAGAGGCATGCCCCTCTTACTAGCCTGAAAGTACAGTGACATATTAGACCTGAAATTACAGAAGTGCTTAGGTAAAAAAATGCTAATTTCAATTTCAGTGGGATATTTAGACACTCACTGATTGCACATAAACTATTAACATGCTGTGACCCTCAGGTTAGGCTGTGCATAGATTTTTGCTTCTCAGCTACTCTTGTAAGACACCAGCATCTTCTTCCCTACATCCACAGGTGCATGCTTCTGTGGGAAGGAAGGAGACAGCCATGCAAACAGGAAAGGAGCCCCAGGACTTTCTAGCCAAGTGCAGGGATAGCACTGCCATCAAAGCGATGGAGTGCTCCATGCCTCTTGGCACAGCTTTGCAGGACTGGTACTTTCTGCAGCAAAGAACAAGTGAGGTCTGTTTTAGGAGGAGGCCTGCTTAGTACATTTTGAAGCCTGAGTTTGAGAGATAGAGAGTATGCAAAGGTTTTTGTTTATTGTGTTAATATTGCTTGTGGGTTTAAATGTACGTTGATTCTGGAAGTCTTAGATGCTTACATAGGAGAGGAAAGAAATGTGATGTTCAAAAGCATAGTATAAATGCAGTATATCAGATGACAGAAACTGTGCTGTCTGTGTCAATGGACATGAGATGTGGCAAATCTGTTCTTACTGTTGTTAATTTCACTTCAGTTGCTTTGTTTTTACTTGTTAGTGAACTCTCCCAGCTACAATTGTTTTTGAGAGGGTCTCAAAAGCAAATTAAGTAAACAATTCTCAATTCTCTTTAACTTCAAAAAACAAAGAGTATATTTTCCTGCATAAACCTCTCAACTACAGTTTGAAATGCAGCAGGGTGAACATGGTTATACCTATATACTATGGCAGAAATCCAATATTCATCTGTGGTACGTATTGAGAGAAAATGAGATCATTAAGGTTGGAAAGAACAGCTGCTTTAATTATAACACCATAATATATCATATCAAAGTATTCATCATCTCACACAGCCCCCAAGAACATATGCCAGGGATTCATTTCTATCATCTTGCTACTTCTTGGGACAGAGAACACATAAGCACACTCCAGAGGTCTGGCTGCTTCAAGTGGTGTGATGCTGTGTAAAATAATTGCACCCCAAGCTCGATAATGCTATGGCAACTACTATTAATCTAACTTTTACAGTCCCTGTTCCTCTTTCAATGGTGGTGGTGGAAAGGGGAGACATTCCTGCTGATTGGGATCTACACTGCAGGCAGGTTTCCCACTGTCACACATCCTCATACTGCTGTCTGGAGCGCTCGGTCTGCCTGAGGCACCTGAAGGTACCTCTTCTTTAAGGGAATGGCTGCTTTGTGTTTTAACAGATGCTATGCTTCTGGTAGCGGAGAGATTAGAGGGACCATTCAACATTGAATCAGTCATGGATCCTATTGATGTCAAGATTTCTGAAGCCATCATGAACATGCAAGAAAACAGCATGCAGGTGTCGGCAAAGGTACTGTGTGGGTCACGCCTTCTCTGTTGCTCACTATCACAAGGAGGAGAAAAAAACTTATCCAGCACTTCTTTTCTGCCCAGGCCTTAAGAGAGATTGTCCAGACAATAGAAATTACATTTGTTCATTCAATAGTTCACTGGGATGCCTTTGAATCCTTTGTCTAGTTAAACAAGCCTGAAGTTTTTAAAATGAAGACAATGGGAGAAAAGTGTCATTTAGCAAACTTCAAATTAATAGTTGCAAGAACTCTGGGGAAAACAGACACTGCTAAAAATTAGAGGTAACTGTAATACTCAATACTCAGCAGAGTGCACTCAGTAAGCTCTGCCTGTGCTTATCTGTGATTCCCCATATTAACATCCACACACATTTTGATCTGTTTAGGTCAGGCTACAGCACAATGTGTTTGAGGTGAACAGAAAATGATCCGTTTAACCTCCTTTAATATCCTCTCCAGGGAAATATCATTACATTGGACAGCCTCTGATTAGCAGACCTCAGTTTGATGGAGTTTTGTCTGGATTCTGACATAAAGATAAACAGAGTTAATGATACCAGCGTCCTCCTTTCCATTTTTAGTGTGTCTGTGTACACAGACCACCGCCACCTCTGAACCCCATATTAATAAGGTCCTTTGAATTCAGTAGCAGGTGCTGTTGAGGCAGCAGTCACCAATTAATGTCTTTTCCTTAATATGCATCAGTGCACTGCAGTTAACAAAACTGAAAGTCAACAGTTTGCCAGGTTCTCTGCATTGAGAGTTTCCACCCACATGGATTTCCCAGCAGCCAGTTAGGTGCTGGCGAGATGGCTACCTGAGTCGGTGAGTTTCCGTTGTTTGAAAGGAAGTTGCCATGGCTAGGAAAATTGTGGGGATAAAAGGTTAATATTCTTCCTGCCAGTCCAAAATTAGATTATTTTACAGGCCCACTGCTGTGGGATTATAAAAATTTCCTTCAAGACGCTATTACTTTCAACTTCCCTGAAGTTACTTGGATTTTGAAAGTAGTCTACATCCTGAGCAATGAGACTTTGTTCTGGCAGCAGTGATCAATGAGTTTATCAGCCAAACATTTGGGGAATCAAAGGCCAGCTTCAGAAAACTCAGCCCTTACCTCAGAAAAGAAACAGAAAATATTTTCACTGAAAGCTGACCAAAGGCTCAGGTGTATTTCCTTTTCATTTGCTCCAATATCACAGCTTTTCTGTTAGTCAGGAAACTGCATTCCATGCCAGAATCCAATGACATCACCTTGGCACAAGCTCATCACACTACTCATTTGCAATAGAGGAGGCTGTATGTCATATCCCTCAGAAATATTTTATTTGCTGTAAAGGTTAATAAATCACTGAAATTCCATTTGCACTCTAAAGTTTTTCTTCTAAGAGAAATCTTATCCAATATTTTCTCAAAACTATATCAGTGAAATTTATTTTTCCACATTTTCACAGATAACTGAGCTGTCTTTGCTTGAGGGGCTTTTGTATTTTCTGTTAAGACCATTATTCTCCAGAAATGCATTTTCCTTGTTTTCCTAGGTTACATCCCTCTTTTTTCATGCCCTGACACATAGAAGTGTTTTATTATTCAAGTATGAGAGAGCAAAGTCTTGGGGTTCAGTTCTGTGATCTTCTACGTCTGTCATGTCAAATCTATAGAGATGATGTATGAGCAGACTTTGCACCATTCATCTATTGCCTAATTTTTCTCCCTTATACATACTGACCACTTAGACCTTCAGTGAAAATGACAGATACCTTACCAGATGTAATGGGGTGCACAGAATGCAATTGCAGATCTAATGTAGGAGAAAAGCCACGCTTGTCAAATATTCTGAGTCTCTACTCAGCAAGCTTCAGGCAGGGTGTTGAAATCGTGCTATTTTCTCTTTTTTCAAACAATTTTGTACCTTGCATTTGACTGTATCCACTGAAAATGTGGTGACTGGAAAAAATCACAGCCTATTTTCCACAAGTCAGTCAATGCATTTTTACAATGGGAAAATGATGATGCACTAACATCATGCTTGCAACACCCACATACACATACATTATTCTTCACCATTGACATGCATCCTTTCCTAACTGAAAATCTGTCTGATGTCTACAAAGAGTCTCTAAGCTTTGTTCAGTAGCACTTAAGGCCATTTTATATTTTTTTTCTCTCTTCAAAGGAATGGGAAAATTTACAACAAACAGTAGTTTTTTCAAGTAACTCTCACTAATCTCATCTCCTTTTCAGACAGAAGACCCAGAGATCAATTAAACTAATATCCATCCCTCTCCTTTTTCAAGCATTTGAGTAAATTGCTCTGTTCCAAAAGTCATTCCCATTAAAACTATCAGTTTGCCTTTGTTTTGCAAGATATATGTTTTGCATTATACCATCTGCAATTATATATTGGAATTTATTTGAGAAAAATATGTTAGGTATAATAAATTTGCTGTACATTACTGTGCATAGGGAGGCAAAATTCAATGATGTGTGCTTTCCAACATAATAATTGTATTACAATATGCACAACCTATTCAGAACTATTTTTCTGAGAAATAATCTTCATGGTTACAGTTGTACTGATAAATAAAAGGGGGATAAAGAACAGTGCCTGACCTTGAGGCCCGAGTGATATAGACAATTCATTTCTATACTGCTGAGATCTACATTCTTTGAAGTTGTTTCATTCAGCAAAGAACAAGTAGGAGCAGTCCAAGAAAAAGCCAATGAGCTAACAATTAATCAGTGCAGACAGACAGGGCTTATTGCTGGAGTTCACATCTTGTCTTTCATTTCCTTAGGAGATACAAACCCTCTGTCTTTCACTCTTGATCGGTGCACATCAATATTGAAACAAAATTGTAGAGGTGCCACAAATACCTCTTCTATCTTTGTATTCCTGACCAAGGACATACAGTCCCAGCCATATCCCTGTACCTGTCACTGCATTAAATGGAGCATCTCTGCTCCTAGGTCATTGACTTTTCTTGTTTGTAAGCTGACTGTAGTTCATTCTTTCAGCACAGTTCACATTAACCAGGTACTAGTATTATGCTAAGATCTTCCAATTCATCCTGAGGCTGGAATCCTCTGTTTTCTTGACAGTCTATATTCAGCACTGGCTGCTTAAAAAGTCTGGCCACAAATCTCTAAGCTTCATATGCAGCTCACCTTGTGTGGCTGTCATGTCCCTGAACAACATCCTCAAGAGGTCTTTATTTTGCCTCAGGGAAAGTCACATTTCTGACAGCTGCAGTATTTGGAGATGCTTTTCAGAAAGTACCAATGGTTCACAAAGTCAAACCCCAAGGCCTACTGCAAGAGAAATCTACATGCTCTGAATCAGATCTGAGTTTCCCTTTTCCAGAAATATGCAAAGACTAAAGATCGTCACAACCAAATTCCATCACTTTATCATCTAACACTCACAGCCATCCTGACAGAGTACCTTCTGCAAACCATCCTTGCAGAGTGAAAAAAGCTAGGCTGTCTGTATGTTTTAAATGTAGGCTTGGCTAACTGGGTCTACTCAGACTTCAGTAGTCTCTGAGGGCAATATCTGGTAATAATCAGGTTGCAACAGATTGACCATAAAAACACGAGGAAAAATTTCTTTACTGTGAGGCTGACAGAGCACTGACTGGAATGGGCTGTCCCAAGGTTGTGGTGTCTCCTTTTCCAGAGATATTGGGACCTACCTGCACACCAGCTGTGCAACCTGCTCTAGGGAATCTGCTTTAGCAATGGGGTTGGACTGGGTTATTTCCAGAGGTCCCTTCCAACCCCTGTGATTCTGCGATTCTGAGTGAAGTTGTGCTTCTCCTGGTAATGTCTGAGACATCTTATTACTGAAATCTCTGTCATTCAGCAGTGACACGTATTTGTGATCTGAAAATAAAAGTGGTATAATTAGTAAATCTATATATTCTTACTCATGGCTCAGCTCATATTCAAAGTGTAGTCATAGCATACATATGCTTAACTCTTATTCTCCTTCTCCCAGAGAATATTCAGGGAGTTATCAAATATCTATGATCTTTTCAATCCTTGCCAAAACAAACTTGCTTGAAGTTCTTCACAAATGTCCCATAAATCTGGCAGTACCTTTACCTTTCTTGCTTGCTTGAAGTAAAAGAGCAAATCCTACACTTCAGTAATATAAATATTTAATATCTGACTTCTGCAAGGATTGCTTGTTCTCAAGAAGTGGAAGAAAGCTCACAAAACAGCAAAAAAGTGCTGCAATTCCTCAAAATGCAGAAAATTCCCAATTTTGTTGTATTTGTGTAATTTTCGTTGTTCCTCAAAACACAACGTATATTGGGCTATTTTCCACATTTTAAACCATCTGGTTTTATAAATATTTGCTTGACTGCTCTAAGTGTTATATGGATACCATGCCAAGATTTTTGCTCTTCCATAAAGGCTGTCCCCATAGCTGAGTCTCCTATTAGTGAGTCTTAAATCATCTTCTATCTAAGCTGATGGACGTGCCATTTTAATCTATAGATACATGTTCCTTTTTGGCAATTACTCCAGTTAAAAGGACGAATGAGCTCCATGACATAGCGGACTACTTATGTATTATTTATAAGGAGGAAATCTTCATAAAACTACTTGTCCAACTTTCTTCTTAAAATAGCCCTAGAGTTTCATATTAACAAAACCTCTTCATTTATCTGTGTTCTTTCCAGAGCCCTGTACTTTAAGAATATAATGGCACTTCAGGAAAAAAAAATCAATACTATTCTATTTGAAGATGAGAGAGTCAATGGAGCAAAGTTGTATGGAGGCATTCAATAGGAAACACTGAGCACTAGTACATCTAAATAATAGTATGACTCAAAGCTTCATAGATTCAGAAATTCTTTCTTCTTGGATTCAAAATAGTGAGTTCTCCTAGGAAAAGAACTCCTTTTTCACAGTATCTACTCACTCATCCTGAAGTAGATAGCTCCATTTAGTCAGCTCAATAGAAGTAATTTTACACTGGCTCCGCTGATTCGATCACATGGCTTCGTTCAAAGCCCCTGACCACAGAGGTTTTCTGCTCTTTGTGGCACCCTAGGATGCATCATATGAGCTTCATCTGCAGTTCAGAGAGGAATGGTCTCCCATGTGTCTTGTGTTAAGACAGTCTTACCAGATGTCAGATATCCTAGGATGATTATAGATGCTGATGAGAAAGCAACCAAAGGGCAATTTTCATCTCCACTGCCTAAAAGTGGGTGTTTAGCTCGAAAACAGACACCTACATTCATACACCTAGACCTTGATTTCTTAATTTCAAGTGGAATTGCTTCTCCAAATTCAGATGAAGTGGACAGCACCAATTATATATAAAGTACATTTTTTTAAAGAGTGGATTTTTACTGCTAGCTCACGTCATTTGTAATGGAATACCAGCATATTTTCCTATAAATTGTTCTGAACAGCTCTGTGAAGTATTTAATGTGCTTCTTCTTAGGGAGCATTTGTTAATTTCAGGTATCAGCTTTACATTTTCTGTCTTGTCAGTTCATGCCTGTATGCAAATTAGAAAATGTGGTTTTGGCACTCAAAATTTAGTTACAGATCATTGCATCCTTACTGCATTTTTGCCAAGTCATTTAAAAACTAAATGATTTCTTCTTCTGTGATCTAAAAATTGCTATCTAATTTCTACCTCTGTTATTGTCTGGTTTTAAATAATTTTGTTCACACAAAACTACTTACTGCTTACAACTATGAAGTGAAATGCCACAATATCTGTGTTAGTTTTTCCAATATGTCACAAGAGAAATTAAATTATGCAGACTTAAAGCTATTCCACATGATCACACAGGTAGCCTAACACATTCTGTGAAAGTTAAGAAGACTTAAGGCCAGGCTGGATGTGGCTCTGGGCAGCCTGGTCTGATGGTTGGTGACCCTGCACATAGCAGGGGGATTGAAACTGGATGATCGTTGTGGTCCTTTTCAACCGAGGCCATTCTGTGATTCTATGATTGAGTATCCACACTTTCCTCTGAAAGTCAAGTTGCAAAATTGCCATTTGTCTCTGTAAGCAAACAGCTTGATTGTTTAGTTGGCCAAGAGGGACTTCATAGATACCTAAATAAACAGTTAAGATCCTCATGCATAACTTATCTATAGTCAGAAGAAATGTGTAAAATTTTCCCAGCACATACATTTGTCATTTGGACAAATAGTTTGTGTTTGGCATTACAGTTTTATAAAAACTAGCTTACAATAAATGATGATGTTTAGTTTCTTTTTCTTCAGAATGATGGCAAAATGTTAAAAGTAGCCAAACTGTAACAAAAAAAGGGTTATTCCAGAAGTGAAAAAGATGGCATTAAGGCAAACACTAAGATCCTATTTCATCACAGAATTTGAAAAATGTTATTGCATGAATATTCTACCTCCTTTCAGTTGACCGGCTTCTGAAAGAGTTCCTCTGGGATACATACCTAATGCTCACGGTCAAATGTGTCTTCTATTCACATTAGGATGCACAAGATATATGCAACTGAAACTTCATTCCAAATGAGAGAATATGAAAAATCTCACAACTCTGAACATTATCTTCATACCTAGAAAACAAACACACTTCCAGATAACTATTCTCACAGTTGCCCACTAAATACAGCTATAATCATCTCTCGTATCAGGCCAGCTAGGAAATAAGAAAATAATCTAGTCATATGACTCTTTCATCACTGACCTTTTCTTTGAGACTACAAACAAAATTACCAGATAGGAATAGCTGTAGAGAAGGATTATGAATGAACTGTGATTTTGTGTAAGTACCATGTTTAACAAAAGCTGAAATAGTTATTAAACAAGTCCTGTCACAAAGGGCTCATTAGTGCTTTCAAGTGTTAAATTCTTAGAATAATCACCTTCATGAAGTAGGTGTTTTTTAAGGACCCTATCTGTTCTTATGTACTCATTGAGTAATTATTAATGCTTAATTATTAAACTGAGTTTTTGAGCAAGTGTTCTATTCACTGTTATGAAAATGTCAGTAAAATACGAAGTTTCAAATATATGAGAGTAAAAAGAGGATGTAAAACACCAGCCTCCCTCTTTTTTATGGCTGTCATGTAACCTACAATATCTTTTTCAGGTTTTCCAAGGATGTGGTCAGCCTAAGCCAGCACCTGCCCTGAGGTCTTCCCGTTCAGTCTCTGAAAACTTCAATACACGGTTTAGACCATATAACCCAGAGGAGCGACCTACAACTGCTGCTGGCACAAGTTTGGATAGGCTGGTAAGGCAAAATGTACTTCATTCTTCAATAAGTAGAAATGGTTTGGTAATACAGTAGAAGAATGATAATCTCTTGACAAATTTTTTTTTAATAATTTCATAATCACTTCATATAGTTTCTGTGCCAACTGTTCTGACATTCAATAACTTTTTTTCTCCCATTGGAAATACAACAGAATTGCATTCTAGGAGAACAATATGACTCACTTTTTATGTATTAGAAATGTTAGAAGACAATAAATTCTTTCCTGCAAGCCAAAAATTAGATGAGCCAAGAAAGGTACTTTGCAATATGAATTCTCTTTGAAAAGTAATCTGCAATAATACTTTTTTTTTTATTAAGGTATTTAAAATATCTAATACATCTTTAGCCGTCAGTTCAAGACATCCACTTGCAAAGGCACGTTGATTTGTTCCACTCCTTCATTTAATAATAAAATAACAACTACTTTATTTCCATCCATCTAAAAAATTGACTTTTATCAGCTGAAACATGAGTGATCATTAATCTTGTTTTATTTAATCAATCATTTCAAAAACAAGACTTTAACACAAGATTATTTTCTCCACTACCAGTCATCAGATTTTCATTTCAGATTATGATGCTCCTGCTATTTATACATCTAAAGATTTATAGTAGGCTAATTATTATAGCTTCTAATACTATCTCAGCAATTATCTCAAAATAAGGCCAATGGGCAAAATTAAAGACTTGTAAAGCATCTGAATCAGACAGTATAGCACAGCCTGTGCTTGCCATGGTTATTGCTGAACACTTGTACAGCATTGGTCTGTCTTTTAGAAGAGACTCATGTTCAGGCTGCAGGAAGAGTGAAAGAGGAGAAGCAACCCATTGGGAATAGCAGCTGGTAGCTGGGCCTGAGCATTTGGTGGGATGTCATTCTGCTGAGTGCCTGACAGATTTGAGCTGCACTGCAGCATGACAGTGCCTTGCTGATTGTGAGTCTAAACTATCTAGAAGTTATTCCAGTATGCACCATACACCCAAATACACTAATTCAATCAGGATCTGAGTCTCTCCTTGGACCATAATTCCGTAAATTCCTTTGATAATCACCACAGTATTCCATACCACAGATCACACCAAAGTCTTTCCAAAAGCCTATGCTGTAGCCCATCCATTAATCTACTGTATTCCCTCAATCTCTGTTGCAATTCAAATGAAAACTATCAACTTTCTAGTCAGGACATGGGATTGCTCTGCAGCTAAACCCAATATTTTGAGTTCTCTTTTTCGCTGGAAATGGTATAGCTTGATTATCCTAAAATGAGGAACAGAAAAGATCTCTGTTGTACAGTTAGATGTCTCTAACACAGTAGATTCATAACACAGTATAGCATCTTGGGCTAAAAATCTTGCTGGTAATGCTCAATTCATATTTGACAGTATCTTAATTTTATCCTATCTCTTGAGATTCACAGAAGCAGTCCTTTTTGCTTGGTGCAGTGTAGGGCCTGGATCTTAACTCGAACTTACCAAGTTGAAGTTAAAGGTCATTGAAGCAAGCAGACTTTAGTCATGCTCTGGTCAAAGTTAAAGGCTGAAAAAGAGTAAGGTGAGAGGAAAGCCACAAAGGGAAAGAAAGGCTGGTAGCACAGGTCCGCTTGCTATATTGTAAGAACTGTTGGAGCATTTTTGCACTGAAAAATGCTTCATAAGATCTTCCATGTTCACTTCTAAATATTGTTGTCTTTTTACACTACAAACTTCCAAAATACTGGGCAGCATCTTGAATAAAGCACTAATGTGAGATAGATATGCTGCTGGCCTTTAAAGGCTGTAACAAATGAAAACTGCCAGTGAAGGCAATCCCTCATTACTCAAAATAACTTCTAGAATTTCAAAGGGGATTTTTCCCTACGCAATTTAACTAGCTTTATTGAGGCATTATTTCAGAAAAAGAAAAAAAATAATAATAATTTAGCGTTATTGCTTTTTCTGTGACGAGTTATTACAGGAAAATGGTTATTTGTCTTTCTTGCTGGTGATATTTAAAATAGTAACTATTCATGCCCTGTTAGCTATGTGTGTGGGTATCAAATCCATCTCCAAACGGCAGTGATACATGTGTTGTCTCCTTTTGGGTTGAGAGCAACAATCCCTGAAACTTGAGATGGCCACTGATCTGAGCTGGAGCGAGGAAAGGCTGTTTATGTGGATTAGGGCAGAAGGCCTTGTTTCAGAGCTGTAATCCCTTAGCAACACTTGGGAAAGGTCACTGCCTACATCTCACACCATCCTCAGTAATTTTATCCAGAACGATATAAATGTTGCACTCCTGCCTCACAGGAGCACCATTCAACCTGCCTACATTAGACTCTCAGTGTGTTACGCAATGAATCATTCCTTAAATCACTCTCTTCACTAACTATAGACAGAACCTGGAAGACCAGCTTCAGTTAGTTCCTCCCCATCCTTGCATCATTAACAGGACACAGAGAATCCCACTCAAAGCAGTTTTCCAGTCTGCACACTGATCATTTCCTATTGCTTATTAAATACAAATGTACAGCAGGATGAGAATTTTGATAGTAGTGTCAAATGTTTAAAGCCCCGTTTGATTATTATAGATGTAAGAAATACAAATAAGGAGTAATTATTATCTGCTTTTATGTAGAGGAACTTTCCCTCATTGAGTCAGCCTTACATTAATGCTGTTAGAAGTCTATTCTGGATATTTTATTCATAAAACACTGTTAGACCATTTAAGTTTTAACTGTCACCACAAAGTCCAAACATCCAGCTATGCAAGCCTCAAAAGGAGAAGTAACAAACAATTCTGCTTTCATGTCCTTGACAACGTGCCCTTAGAAGTGACTGAGCTTAGAAAATATTTCCTCTGCATCTCAAGTAGATAGCATATCTGAATCAATTTTTAACTCATGCTCATATTCCTGTTTATGAGCTTAATTCAGTTGAGCATACTTTATCAGGTATGTTGCAGAAAGCAGATCTCTCATAAGGAGTCTATAGTGAAACAGTCAGGTACTGAACCCTTCTGAAAACACGCTTCTTCATCCTTGCTGAACTTGTTTAATTAATCCAGCTATTGCATTTCAAGAAGAGAGGTTTCCATGTGTTACTGTCACAGTGTTAACCAGAAAAGCTTAACAAAGAAAAAATAGATCAAAATTAATTGTGAGAAATGTGAAAAAGCCCTAAAGCACACGTAGGTGAATTTAAATGTATTGGTTGTATTTAGGAAGTCACATAGATATTGAGAGAATTGTCTAAGCATGGGTGTAAAGCACTATCTGAGACTCCTGACTGTACTAGAAACAAGGGACTGACTGATGTGGTGAGAAGATTCAGGTACCTCCAAAGTAGCTAAGGGGAGCCAGGTAGAATATGCTGCAGCATCTCAAGCAGAACCTATGTTCAGGCAATTACATCAGGTCTTCTCAGCATGGGGCCTAAAAGCCAGGCTCTTTCCAAAGTCAATGGAGAGAGACATATGTCTTCAGAGAGTGACTTACCCCAGCAGTTACAGACACTGCTCACCGAGTGGGAAATGAAAGTCTCAATTTAGTTATCCACATTTAGATATGCAACGCTGTTTGAGATGCCTCAGGGTATCTAGAACATCAGACTGAGCTGGCAGTTAGGACAGTCCTTCATGATGCCTGTGTTCTCCTGGACAGGGGTTGAAAATAAAGTAGGATACCTAAGATGCCTACTATCTGGCATCTGACTGTCGGATCCCCCTAGTTAGGATTCAGCTGCATAAACAGTCACTTAATACTACTTGTAACGCCTATGGTTTTCAAGATATCTAAATGTTACTAGAAAAAAACACAGAAAGCCTGTCTGGAAACAAGATGGAACCTCAAAGCTACTGAATTTATTTTACATGCCTATATTTAGGTAGCACTGAATGTACTTTGTATGCCTATATTTAGGTAACTGGATTCCAACCTATTTCTCTCCTGGTTATAACAGAAGCCAAAATGAGGAGTTTAGTGATTAAATGTAGAGATCAGTAGTATAAATATATACAATTGTCTTTCCAATTTTGATGCCTAAATGACTATCTCAGATTTGAATATCTATTTTTCATTTTTAATCGAGAGAAATGATGGCCATCATTCATTTGTCTAAACATAGGTTTATGCAATTGAGATGTGATTAAATATTTCTAAACTATAATTTAGCTCATAATGTACATATTTAAACCTCTCCGAGAAATCATTTCCCAGCTCTCTTCTACAAAGTGCCAAATAGTGACAACTTTACACTAAGGCATCTAGCAATTGCATCTAATGTTAAGATAAATAGTGTCAGAAATTAAATAACTTTAACCGTGGAACTCATCTGCTTCTGTAGAGTACGAACTAAGATTTCTTATTTAATATACACTGCTTTTAAAAACTCGCTATCTTCTCTGTGGTTGCCTGTTTGGTATAACCTGTTTTGTTTTTCTTTTCTTTTGTTTGTTTTGTTTCTGTTTTGTTTTATTTCATTTTGTTTCTTCTGTTCCCTGAATCTGTTTCCCTCTTGCTTCCCAGAGGACTATCTGGAGGACAATGCAACATGGTGTAAGCTTTGGTATTCTTATTCTTCATCTTCATTCCCATTTGTCTTTGTACAGTGCTGGGCTAAACAATTCTTTAAGTTTCAGATTCACCATCTTTCCTTTCTGTGTCTCAAGTAGGCTAAAACACTGGCAGTAATTTTACACTAAGTCGTTTGGTGCTGCCCAGAGCTTAGGGCTGCTGATTCTTTCCAAACAGGGGTGCATTCCCTCAGTGAACTAAAAGCTGCCCTAAGTGTCTACATGATCTCAGCCACCATATATGCATGTGCAGCAAAGCAGACACTGCAGTGGCACCAAGCTCTGGGGCCTGTGTGTTTAGATAGCACTCAAGCAAAGGAAACAATCTCCCAGGCCATCCTAGGCTCCCTAAAGCTATCCTTGTCTCACTGTCTAATCTTGGGCAAACCACTTAGATGCTTTGTGTGAGTTTGCAATGTAGATCCCC